GTTTTATTTTCTGATTTTGCTTTTTTGATAAGCGGGTAGTCACCAGCTAATGAACAATGGAAAAAAGTCCTTAGTGAGTTAAGGACCTTAAGGGAGGCCAAAAGCTACTGAGGCAGGTTGCGTCTGGTGTATAAAATCATGTGGGCGAGTTCTTCGTTTGGTTGAATCTACTTTAATTAGAGATAAATTACTTGTAATTTTGAATAACTTGATCCCAAATAAACAAGGGCTGGATAGCTGAATTAGAAAAAAATAATATTAAGCACAATAATAATAATATTAAAGATAATAACTATACTATGATATATAATTGTAAGGATGATAAGAATAATAATAATGATAATAATATAACTAAAGATGATAATGATAATATAAGTGAAGTACTATCTAGTTTACTAGCTATAAAAATGGCTATGCAACTTGAAAAAATAAAATTAAAGAATTAGAAAAAAATTTTCAATTAACAAATTACTTATATATGGTGATCAAAGCAAAAAAATTGGTAAAATTTTTGGCCAAGCTATATGAAATTTACATTTATATTTATTACAAAATAAGAAGATACTTGAATTACCAAAATTACTTGATAATATTAGAGTGGTTTTCTAAAATTTTTAAGAAATTTTTTTGTAAGTCTAATATTATTTATATAAAAAAAAATATCAGATCTGTGTAAAAAAACAAAAACAAAAAATATTGAACCTGCACAATTTGATACTAGATATTCATTTAAAATATCAGTTTTTATTATCTCTATGTTTCTTATAGTTGCTTTTCCAAGTATCAATATTTGGTTTACAAATATTATGAGTTCATTATACAAAAAGCTAAAACGTTTAACATCATTATATAAAATATTATATATAGCAAATATTGTATTACATTCTTAACACTATGAGAGATGGTTTGAAAAAAATCAGCAAAATAATTCAAAATTAGTAACACAATTACTTGAAGGTAACAATATTTAGAGTATATGTGTAATAGACAATATTGATTTTAAACAACAATCTTTTGCTTTTAGAAATATCTATAATATTACATATATAACTAAATATGCTTGTTTGTATATAGTTTTTCAGTTTCAATTACTATTTTCTTTTGAAGAAATTTTTTTAGAAGTATTATAAAAAAAATTATTAATAGAAATTAGTACATCTAATTTTACAAAACAAAAGGTTGCAAATTTTGAACAAATTTTTTATAAATTATTAATGCTTGATGAAGTTGAGATTGATATAGACAAAGTATATAAAGAATTAATAGCTAATGCTAATATAAATACAGAATTAAAATATAAGATATCTGTACCAAACATTGTTATTTTAGAACTAAGTAATAATTCATATTTAGATAAAGAAGTTCATAATACCTGTTGCATGTTTTTTAATGATGTAGAAAAAAAAGCTAGCAGGTATAATAAACTTGATATAATTGCAAATGAAGCTATTTTTGATATTTAATTTCTTATAATAAAATTCATCCAAATGTGAAACTTCTTTTAGATGCTTAATACACAAATAAAGAAATATGTCAAATTTTGATCACAATTTTTTCTAGCTATACAATCTTTGACTTAGCAACATATTTTAGAGTTCAATATTTAGACAAACTGAAAAAAGTAGTTGATTATTCTACAACATATTATGTCTTAAAATTTATTTAGATTGCGGTTATTAAGTGAATTTGCACAACAAACTAATAGTAGTTTTATAATGATGAAAATAGTAATAATAAATAAATAAAAACTTGGCTTTTTTATTTTGAATAGAGTAGTTACTGAATAGGTCACAAATTCAGAATATGTCATAGAAATTTTTAAATGCAAATTCAAAATTTAGCTGTATTTGTACCACTCTTTGCTATAGCAGATAAAAATAATTATAAACAATTAGTTGTTCATTTTTTACATTATTTATCAGAAGATCCAGAATTATGTTTATTATTACAATATATTTCATCAGTAAATTTAATGAGAGAGAGTATTATTTTGTCTATGATGAAACTATTAAGCATTTTGGTGTTAAATATACTAAAGATAATATTGGATATTATATATATTATATAGGTAATTAAGAAAAATTAAAGTTGCAAATGAGTTCAGTACAGAGTGAAAAAGAACATCTAGATTTAACATTGTATAATTATATTGAAAAAGACATTATAATTTCTAGAGATCGTGCACTAACATCTAGAAATAATATAATGCATAGCTTAAAATATAAACTAACTAATGCATTTATATAAAAATTGAGCATATATAAACTTTTAAAAACACTTCAGAATATACTAAAGAAGAATTTAGCAATTTATTTACTTCTTACAATATTGGTTTTAAAAGATTAAAAATTATTCATACTCAAGAGATTACTAAAGAAATACCTTATAATACTAAAAAATACAGTCAAAAAAATATAAGAATTAATACAATTTCTCAGCTAAAAAAGCAGAACAAAAATGCAAACATACTGAAAAGTTACTACATTCACTTAAAAAAAAACTTCTAAATTTAATTTTGATATTTTTTCTTATAAACTAAACTACAATAATAATAAAAAAGTGATAATATTGTGTTTTTTTTTTTTTTTTTTTTTTCATTTAGGCAAGATCGCGCCAGTGACACTGTTTATTAAAGCCATCATCTCATAGAAAATGCTAAAACAATAAAACTTAAGTCCTGACATCCTACAGCTACTATGCCTTTAGGCGTCTATAGGTGACCTGCCGCACCAACAAGATATATAAAATATACCCTAACCAGAGGGCTCGTCTGACCACCACCCTACAATAGGATATCGCCAATCTGATGATATCTTTTTGTAGGGAAGTAAAAGAAAAAGAAAAATTTTTTAAGAAACACAGAGATATAGGGGAATATGATAAAAAAATACAAACAAGAAAAGAATGGGGTAAGGGAAAAACGAAAAAAAAACTAAACTAAATACGGGATTTTTCATCTGCACCGGACGGTCACAATTATAAGCTTGTGTTGGGCTCTGTAAAAATTATATACTACTATCTAAACTAGTCTCTATCCTAATCTACATACATAGTATATATAAGATAAGAAAAAAACACTGTGACAAGGTAAAAAAAAAATAGCTTCTTCGACGTCAGCACTATAGAGAGGTCGGAAAGGTCAGAAAGGTCAAAAATTCGCACAGAGGTCTCGAGTCATTGTTTGTCCAGGTTGCCACATTCGAGGCACGTAATACATATGTCAGTTCTATAAGATCCACGTGTTTGTTATGACAGGTAAAAACGTAAACAATGTGACCAATTTGGTAAGTAAACAATATGTCGATCTTTTGGAGGGAGTAAGCTAAATCACCCACTTTTTTACAAAATTTT